GTCAGAGCAGTCAGTGGTGGTAGCCGGGCACCATCTAGCTGTACTGGACTCAGTCTGGTGGAGGCCTTGGTAGCTGTGGTCCATAAGTCCTTTGGACTAATCTTTCCTTTGTATCCTGTTCTCTTCATTCTCCCTTGCTCCCAAAGGGGTGAGACCAGTGGAGTATCTTAAATGGCTGGCTGCTCACAGGCTTCTAAGACCCCAGACACTACTCACCGAGGTAGAATGTAGAACAATGTCTTTATAAACTGTGTTATACCGATTGAGCTAGACCATGGTCCCTGCAGCCCTCCACCCAGCATTTCAGTTCCTCAGGGAATGTGTCTATGGAGCTTCCATGACCTTTTCTTGTACAAGTTGGGCTGGCTTCCCCGATATTATGTACTGTCTTACGCTTCACCAAAGTTACCACTTATCTATTGTCTATTTAGTATTCCCCCCTACCCTTCCCATCCCTCGTAACCAGCAAAGATTGTTTCTTTTTGTGTGTAAACTTTTACGAGTTTTTACAGTAGAGGTCTCATACAATACTTGTCCTTTTGTGACTGACTTATTTCACTCAGCATAATGTCCTCCAGTTTCATCCATGTTATGAGATGGTTCACAGATTCATCACTGTTCTTTATCATTGCGTAGTACTCCATTGTGTGTATGTACTATAGTTGGTTTATCCATTCATCTGTTGATGGGTGTCTAGGTTGTTTCCATCTTTTTGCTATTGTGAACAATGCTGCAGTGAACGTGGGTGTGCATATGTCTATTCGAGTGATGGCTCTTATTTCTCTAGGATATATTCCTAGGAGTGGGATTGCTGGATTGTATGGTATTTCTATTTCTAGCTTTCTAAGGAAGCGTCATATCATTTTCCAAAATGGTTGTATGTGGCTCTAAATTTAATGTGTATTTATAGATTCTCTTGTAGCCATCCTTGGGGAATTAAGATTTTATTAGCAAAGGCCACATCGTGGAAAACTGTAGAGTTAGTCCTTTCCAAAACATTTCTGCTTTACACTTGGCTGAATTTATATCACCTAACCAAAACCAAATTACCTGTCAATGTGGTGGCCCATAGTTTACTTGCCTTCATTCTCTTGAATACGCGTGTATTCATTTCTTAATCTCAGACTGGTATCCTGTAAATTGCCCCGATTCTTGGCCTAACTCTGCTGTATCCCCCTTAATCCTTTCACATCTTCTAGAATAATAATAGGTTCTCAGAGAAGGCAACATATTGTTAATAACACAATATTGTTCTAACATATTTAGGATACTAAACTGTAAACTTCAAAACAGCTTTCTTTCATCATCTTTGTACTAGTAGAGCCCAGTATGATAAATGTTGGTTAAATGAAGTTAGGGAAAGTACACCTCTCCTCTAGGGCTCACTCTTTCCAAACCAAATAAGAAGTCTCTTAGATGATCAACTTGGATAGTTATTTGTAACTGTCCATGGCCGCCTCTAGCATTGTTACCCCATTAAAATTTCATCTCTCACTCCTTTGTGCTCCTGTTTGTATTGCATTTTTACCACTGGTGGAGCACCATTTCATTTGATCCGTCCTTTGGTTCCCTGAGGGCATAGAGCACATTGTACTGTGCTTTTCTTTTCCCAGCATAGCACCTTGCACATGGTAGATGTTAGGAATTGAACATTGACTTGGGTTTATACATATGTAATTTGTGATCTGTGTGTATACAGAGAATAGGAGTAGGCCCTTTTAATCTGTAGGTACAAAATTCTTGAAAAGATTAATTGACAGGGGAATGAAATCAGAGTAGTGGTATATACTGTATTTTCAATCCTAGTTATTTATCATTTAAATACCAGTTTTCCTTTCCTTACATTCTTTTCCTCAGTTTTCTTATCTAGTTTCTTTACATTCTGTTTTAGCAGCTGTTTTTTGCTGAAGCTAGTAATTTTCCTAGGTTAGGAAGAGAAACTAGGCAACAAATTCATCTCCAAATGTAAATTTCAAAAGCCAATCTGTTGTCTATTCAAGTCAGAACTGACTATCAATCTGAATAACAGTGTGTGTTCCATTTACATAGCAGAACACACATGAATATGTGTATGTTTATTAACTAAAGAAAGAGTGAGAGAGAAAGATCTGTTCTTTAGATGACTAAAACCTCAAACCAGAACACATGCAAAGAGCTTTACTGGACATAACCAGCCAAAACACTAGCTTTTAAGATTTTATTCTTGAGAGCAAATGTGTGTATAGGATGTAGCCAAAGAAAAGATAAGGGCCTTTTGCGAAATACATCATAGGGTTAAAGAAGAGGAAGCTTTGGGAAAGATATGGAAAATGCGTTGGACTATTTTAAATTTCTATAATGGGTACCAACATAATTCTTTAACTAGATTTAACTTCATTCATTTTAAAAGTACATGTACTCAGATTATAACAAATAATTCAGATCTAATGAAGATTTGTATTCAGATATTATTTTGAGATTATAGTGTGATCCAAAGTCAGATGATTTATAACCAAATAATCTTTTCTGTTAAATTGTATGTTTTATGATGTCATTGCAGGCAAATCATGAATATCAAAGGTGTAATTCGGTCCTTTCTTTTTCTTTAGTTACCCGGATTCAAGATGAATAGCGAGCAAGTTACCCTGGTGGGTCAAGTTTTTGAGTCGTATGTTTCAGAATACCATAAGAATGATATTCTTCTAATCTTGAAGGAAAAGGATGAAGATGCTCATTACCCAGTTGTGGTTAATGCCATGACCCTTTTTGAAACCAACATGGAAATTGGGGAATATTTCAACGTGTTCCCCAATGAAGTACTAACTATTTTCGATAGTGCATTGCGAAGGTCAGCCTTGACAATTCTGCAGTCTCTGTCTCAGCCTGAGGATGTCTCTATGAAGCAGAATCTTCATGCCAGGATATCAGGTAGGTCACTTAAGGATTTTACTGCCATGTTATTCTCTAGGAAGGTTTAGAGAAAATTTAACACATACTGGATTCAGAGCACCAAGAAATAACAAATATTTATACTTAAAAATATATCCATTGTGTAGTTAATGATCCCTTCTCTTAGAGCATAATAATGATTTTACATTATCTTCTCAGGACATTCAAAAGGCTGGAATACTAGCCATGCCAACTGAGAGGAAGGAGAATGTGTGGAGCTAACAGTGTACTTGTTTGCATATTTATTTCCATATTCATTTGTGTGTCTATAAAATTGTAACCCAAAGCAGCTTTATGAGCTTTTATGGCTACTAACAGTAAAAGAATTGATAATACAAAGAATTAGAAAAATGCTAGATGCTGCCTGGATATCTTCAAAACTATTTTAGGAAACCAATTCTTATATTTCAATATTAGCATTGTGTAGCCCATGTATTAGACACTCAGGTTTTTGCTGAACACATGACAGGTTCATTACATTAAGAAAATACAATGAAGAACTCAGCAACTTGTAGTGACAGAGCTGTGCCTGAAAATTCCTGTCTCCAAATCTTTGCTTCTTGTCCCTCCCTTTCTGTTTTAAAATCGATCATTAACAGGGTGGACAGAATTAAACTAACTGATAAGAATTTTTGAAAATGTGACATTCCAGTACAACAGTTTTCCATTACTTTATTACATGGAAGCCATTTCTTGGAAGGCATAGTATGGGATGGTGATAAGAGTTGAATTTAGGGGATACTTGGTTAGAACTACACCACTAGGGTGGGAGACTTGGCAGATCGCTTAATCTAACTGAGCCTTAATTTCTTCACATGCAAACTACCTCTAGAGTCCCTTTTACCTCCCCAGTTTTTTTATTTCAAATATATCGTTGTTGTATAAACTAATGAAGGCTACTTCAGCTTCATTCTACTTATGAGAAAGGAGGATTTGATGAAATTAAAAGCAGACTCCAAAATATTTAAAGGGCAATTTGTGATTAAATTGGAGAACACCCATACCGTTTTGTTTAAAAATAAATATTTACCTTATAGTACATTTAAGAAGGGTGAGGATTTGTAATCAACAAGAATGCTTGATGTGGTGCTAGAAGGTTAGGAGTCACTAGAGTAGAACTCCTTGGAGACAAATTAAGACTCTAAAAAAGATGAGACACTTGATTTAAGTGAAAAATAGTATCTGCAGTTAAACTTGCTGGAACAAAATTGAGAGTTATTAATCTTTTATGCATCAGGGTACTATATAATTTCCTGCTGGGGTCAAGAAAGAGCTTTCCCTTCTAATAATGTTACAAAAAGTAGATATGTTAAAAGGGACTTTAGTTAATGTTGAAATGATTTTAGGCTGCCCTTTTGTTTGGACGAAGCCCTGGTGGTGCAGTGGTTAAGTGTTAGCTGCTAACCAAAAGTCGGCAGTTCGAATCCATCAGCTGCTCCTTAGAAACCCTATCAGGCAGTTCTGTTCTGTCCTATAGGGTTGCTGTGAGTTGGAATCGCCGTGACGGCAACTGGTTTCGTTTGTTTGGATACCTTTCCAAGCTCAGTTTAAATAATAAAATTCTGTCTGCCTAGGTAACCTCGCTGGTCTCAGATGGACCTAACCTACTTCTTCAATTCTTCTCTGACAAATTGTAAATCATGTTATTACCACAGTAGCATTTATTCTACAAACATAATTTGTGCTAGGCATTTGCTAGGCTCTTGGGAAACCAAAAAGAGTATCGTACAGTCCCTCATCTTAAGGAGCTCAAGGCTAGAGGGGAAATGGCTATGTAATAGTCAGATATTTACCAAATGGTGTGTATGTGTGCCCACAGGTACGTGCATAAGTGCATCTATTAAACATAATTGTAAGGAAGCTGTACGGCAGATTTATGTGATGCGTGCCTCACTCAAGTTATGTGCAGGGTATATTAGCTCATAGAACGGGGAATAAATTCTTCTAGGTGTTTCAGGGGAAGACTTCAAGAAAAGAGGGTAAGGCCAGAGAGGGATGGAGGTGCCCCAAGCAGAATGAATGACATGTATGAAAGGTCAGAGAACAGAAATAGTCTGGTTTTAGGTAAATTACACCTCCATCTTTGACTCTAGGCAAGTCATTTAATTATTAAAACTCAGGATGTCTCTGTGGGTCAGTCTCCTTAGAAGCATAAGACACTTTCTGATATGTTTTCCAAAATATGCATTAAATTTCACCTTTACATCTCCATTTCTTACTTTGTCTTCTGGAATTTTTATTAGCTTAAGGTTTACTTGGTATTCCCAATGGTTTTGATGAAAGGTGTTCAAATGCGCCTTTACCTTTACTTTTTACTTTTACATTTACCAAAGTCAATGGGAAAGAAAAAAAGAGCATTCATGTGTTAATGAAAGCAGTGGTTCTCAAACATTAATGGGCATCAGAATCACCTGGAGGGCTTGTTAAAACACTGGTTGCTGGGCTCCACCCCAGAGTTTTTGATTGAGCAGGTCTGCGGTGAGGCCCAAGAATCTGCATTTCTAACAGGTCCCGTGTGATGCTGAAGCTGCTGTTGCAGGAACCACACTTTGAGAACCATTTTTCCCCCGGGGTACTAATTTCAGGCATTAACCCTCCATTAGTGGTGAACCCCAAAATCTGTATCTTTCTCCCCCATTCAGTGATAAAACAACAAAACAATTTTTGAAATAGATACTTGAAGAATGTTATCACCTGTGCTAGCCCATATCGATTACTTTAGGTCAAAGATTCTCAAAGTGTAGATCCTGTACCAGCAGCATCAGCATCACGTGGGAGCTGTTAGAAATGCAAATTCTGGTGGTGCAGTGGTTAAGCCCTTTGCCGCTAACCGAAAGGTTGGCAGTTCAACCCCCGTGGGTTGCTGTCGAGTCTATGGCACCTAATAACAACAACATACATAGTAATATATATAGTAAGACAGAAAGATTAAAATAAATTGCCATTTCTATCAAAACGCTATCTCTTAGCCTTTTTTAGTATTAAGTTTTTGATTGTACATGAGTTTTGCTTAACATTATGTCACCTTTGTTTTTGTTTTTATATTACAATTATTTAAAAATCATAATAATGCTGAGTGAAAGGAATAAATCTAAATATCCAGAAATGTACTTACTTCTGCTGCCCTTATAATAATACAGTTATATAAAAAATAAACTATTTATTCTGATATGCTTTAGGTTAATTTACTGAATCCTTAAAAAAAAAAGAATTATCCTAATAGGTACCATTTACATGATGCAGTAAGGTGTAAACTGTTCCTTTGTTTCTAATTCAGGAACATTAAGGGTGACATGTGGCCGTGTGTTGTGAAAGTATAGAAGATAATCAAAACCTAATTTCCTGAGAACAATTGGTTGTGGTTGTTAACATAGTTCTTTCTTTAGAAATACTGTAATTGGGTTTGACACAGGATCCTTGCTGGGGTGAGCAGCAGGGGACTCAGTCTTCCTGGCCACACTTCCAGAGGGACACAAGAGTTGGTGAGCATATGAGGGACCCTTAGAACTGAGCCTTGCCTTCCCCACCTCCCACTTGCCTTCTTCCCAAGTGCATAATATATTTTCAGCACAGCCCCCTTACACTGAAATAAAGTCAGTGTTGTGTAGATTTGTCAGAGCCCAGTATGCATAGGCCTGGGTCATCACTTGCAAGGAAAGGAAGGTGTCCCCAAAACCAAGGAGTAGCTTCCTTTTAGTCTTCCTAGGTGGATGTTTCTCTAGACATAAAAGGCATCATGTGTACCATTGTAAGGAACCCTGGTGGCACGTTAAGCGCTCACTGCTAACGACAAGTTTGGCAGTTCGAACACATCTAGTGGCTTTGTAGGAGAAAGATCTGGAAATCTGCTTCCATAAAGATTATAGCCTAGAAAACCTTATGGGGCAGTTCTCTTCTGTCACATGGTGTCTCTATGGATCAAAATCTGCTCAGTGGCATACAACAACAACATGCCATTGTGCATCCATTTTGCTTAGCTGTTCCATTTGTGTGAGTGTGCTAGCCTAGATTTAGGGAGGTTTTCTTGCAGGAGGGAAACTTGAAGGCAGTCTTCTGGCTGAGTGAACTTAGGACAGTTCTCCAGACAAAGTAGAGTACTTAAGGAAGGGTACAGAAGTGAGAAGCCCCAGGATATGCACAGAAAAATTCAAGTATTTTGTTGCTAGTCTGGAAGATTTGAGGCCAGATGTGGTAAAGGGGAGGCTAAAAGGGAGGGAAAGTCGGTTTTCCCTTCCTTTTTATTCACTATTTTTCTCCTTACCCGAAAGTGCTTATTAAAGCACTGGGCTGGGCATAGCAGGGCATGAAAAGAGCTCAAGAAGTGGCCCTACCCTCCAAATATAAGGTAGTTAAGAAACGGTGGAAAGCAGTATGTGATTAAGGCCCAAAATGAGTAGCACAGACCATAGGTAATTATGAAGGCCACTATCTTGTTATAGCAGCTTGGGGAGGTCTTGAAGGATGTACTCTGAGACCAGAGGCATGGGTAGGTGGTGAGAGAAGTTAGGACATTACTATTAAATGAAGAAGGGGGAGTGGGGGGAGATTTGGCAACTGTTCCCAAAATATAAGTCCTTTTTTTTTTTTAATTCTTAGAGATAATGATGTGCAAGTCAATAGAACTATGGGACTGAGGATTTAAATAAGTGGTACTTCTGGGTTATATTCAGAGGAAGTAATGGACTCTGCTTTCCTGAAGCCTAGCCATGGCCTCTAGTCAAAAATCTTTATTTAGATGAGACATTCACCTGAACCCTGAGGTCAGTGAGTATGGAGTAAGTAACCAAGGTAAGGAGTTGGGTAAGGCAGGTGCTGTGAAGTTAGTCACCCAGTCAGGCCAAAACCATGGGACAGCATGGGGGTCTTGGTGGTATGGTAGCTGGTAGCAGGGATGACCATGAATCCTTTCCAGCATTTACACCTGACTTTTCTTTCTTTCAGATCTCATTTTATAAAAGGAAAAAGACCCCTCTTTAATTCTTTGTCCACCTTTATCCTCCATCTACTCTCCTTTATGTAACCAAACTTCTTGAGAGAATACATTTCTTTGGCGTAAGCTTCTCCTGTTCACTTCCACCACACTGAAACTACCCTCACCAGTGTTACCAGTGACTGCCTAATGGCCAAACTGGGAGACACTTTTCAATATATCTCTTATTTCTCTGCGGGGTGTACTACTATTTACTCCTCTGCTTTATGAAACCGCAGCCTTGGCCCCATTGACGACACTCTTTTGCCCGTTCCTCCTTCTCTGACTGTGGCTTCTCCCCCTCCTCTGTGGGGACCTCCTCTTTTACCTGCCCCTTAGGTGTTGGGTCCTCAGGGCTCAGACATGGCCCTCTTCTCCTGGATCCTGCATGCTCTTCTAATGTGGTAGCTCCATCCTGAACCTAGGCATCAGCTGCCACCTATACAGCAACAAGTGCCAACTTTATTTATTTATTTTTAGCCAGAACTTGTCTCTTAAACTCTGTATCTAAATATCCTATTGTCTACCAGATATCTCAAACTAGGTATGTTCTTGCAAACCTAGTATATTAAAAATTGTAGTCATGGTTTCCCTTCACTCTGTGTGCCCCCTCCACCTGAAAATGGCATTTCCTTATTTATTCTTTCAATAAATATTTATTGGTTGTCTACCGTGTGCCTTGCCGAATTCCCCTGACTCAGTTAATGGAATCTCTTCCATTCAGTTACCTAAACCACAAAACTGGGAGTCACCTTAAATTCTACCCTTTTCCTTACATCTTATATCTAACTGGTTTCCAAGCTAATTTAAAAAATAATAATAATAAACCCACTGCTGTTGAGTCAATTCCGACTCATAGCAACCCTGTAGGACAGAATAGAGCCGCCCCATATGGTTTCCAAGGCTGTAATCTTTACAGAAGCAGACTGCCACATCTTCCTCCCTCAGAAAGGCTGAGGGGTTCAAGCTGCTGACCTTTTGGTTAGCAGCCAAGCACTTTAACCACTGCACCACCAAACTAACTTAGTATCTTTAATATCTCTCGTCTTTGCTTTGCATTTCCTTGCCTTTCATCTTTCAAATATTTTTGAATGCTTACTATTTATAAAGCATGATGCTTGTTCTGATGATATAGCAGTGAGTAAAATCTACCTCAACCCTAGCCTCATGGAGATTATATTCTACTGTAGAAACATAAAAAAAAATTAATTAGTTGATTCTTTTATTTCAATTGTGGTAAGTTATATGAAAAAGAAGAACAGTATGGTACGGTACATAAAAGAGAATTTAGCCTAAAGTGAGTTAAAGATTTCATTAAGAAAATTATGTTTAAGCTGAGCTTTAAAGGATGAAAAATGATAATATTAAGTTGAAGAACTTATATTTAAATAGTGGGTGCTATATGCCAGATACTGTTCTAATAATTTTACATATATGAATTATTTTAATCTTCTAATGACCCTATGAAGTAGGTCCTATTGTTATTGCCATTTTACAGAAGGGGAGTCTGAGGTACAGAGAGGGTAAATAATTTGCTCAGGGTCACACAGCCAGTAAGTGATAGAGCCGTGATTCAAACCCAGGCATTGTGGCTCCAGAGTCTGTATTCTAAATCACTAGATTACTTCTTAGTGTGGGTGGAGGGATCGAGTGGGGAGAACAGTATTGAGGCAAAGGGAATACTATATGTGAAGTGAGTGCTCAGAGGGCGCGGTATGAGGGGAAGCCAGTCACACAAGACCTTGTGGTACAGTTCAGATTTGTCTGGTTCTTCATTCTTAGATCTGTGGACAGCCATAAAAGGGTTATATACAGAGGAGATTGTGGTTCAGGCCTTCATTATATCTTGCCTGGATTACTGTAGAAGCAATGGGAGATAGGGTGTATTTTCTTCTTTTCTAAGATGCTGTTTACGGTAAAACACACAAATTAAAAATAGCTTTCTAGGGAAAAAAAAGACAATAAAATTACACATACCTTTGTTTTTAACCAAAATTTTTTAAGCCAAAAATAGCAAGCATCTATCTATACAGTTATGTAAGACTGTATCAGTTATATATATAATATTTTATCTCATTGAATACCCAGTCCATTAAATTGTCTTGGGCAGTCTGTGTCTTTACAGGGCAGTCTGCAGTTATGCATAGCATCAGAGTAACACAACGCTTTCCATGTCCTACTTCTTGTGATCTTAGTTGTGTTTTATTTTTTAATTTTTAACATGTTGATGATATAATTTAAACTGGATAATCAGTTTGCATCTGAAGCAGAACTAGGATGAGGGGAGTAGAAATGGGATATAAAAATGATATTTCTTTAGGGGTCAAGGAAGAGAGAATGGATGTTTCAAAAATCCACAGAAATTGTTAACAAAAATAAGTTTTCTTAGCCCATTCACTTTTGTCTGTTCTTCTGTTTGGCTTGTTCATCTTTCTCTGAAGTAATTGTTGGTAGATTCTGTGTATATTTCAAGAAGCAAATTGGGTCAGTAATCATGTTTCCCTCTTGAGTATCCTATATAATTACAGTAGAAAACACTTTATAATAGACGGCACTTAGTGATTCTTTACAAACGTGCCAATGAAGTTATTTTTTTAAAATGTATTCAACCATATGATCCAGCAATTTCACTCCAAGATATATATCTAAGATAATTGAAAACAAGTGTTCAAACAAAAACTTGTACATGAGTGTTCACAGCAACGTTATTCATAAAAGTCAAAAGTGGAAATGGCCCAAATGCCTGTCAACAAATGAGTAAACAAAATGTGGTATATCCATACAATGGAATATTATTCAGTCATAAAAAGGAATGAAGTACTGATGTATGCTACAACATGGATGAAACTTGGTAATATGCTAAATGAAAGAAACCAGACACAAATGGCCACATAGTCTATGATTTCACTTATGTGAAATACAGACAGGAGAATAAGACCTGTTTTTAATGAAAAGTTTTTGGCTTTTGCCGGGTTGTAACTAGAAATATTGCTGTGTTCTTGGGAGCTCAACATTTAGCTAATTAGCAGATGCCTGAGAACAATGAGAAATGAAGAGTAGATATCTTTGAATGGATAAATACCTGCTTTAATCCTGTCCCAACTTCTCTTGTCTATTCCTGTACATGTTATGTAGTATTTGTCAGCCCTAGGTGTTTTTAATGTAGCAATCCCCAGGAACTTGGAAATAAGGAAAACAAATGTGTTTTATAAAACTGTCAAGTCTACACAGAATAGAGCATATATATACAAAATCATCCTTTACTGCATAATGTGATACAGTCTGCATTAATATAAATAAAGAATACATCCATTACTAAGTGGGCAAGTCAGCATTGGAAGCATAGGAAGTCATAGAGGCAAGTGTTGGCAGTGCTCACCATGTTTATCTATACGGTATACAGCCTATGAAGGGAGAACTCTGGCAAGCCAACAAAGAATATTCAAGTCTCTATCTGTGGTAGGATACACCAGGTTAACATAGCCTGGTACCTTAAACATTCAGTTCATCTATCTGGTTTTGGCGGGGGGTGGGGGAGTGTTGTTTTTTAAGTTCTGTGCCTCCCAGACTACCTTTCGATTATTATCATTTGGCTTTCTGAGTAGATGTATTGACAGGCAGAAAATGTGCTGCCATAGGAAGTTAAAGTATAATCGTACCTGTGATGGTTATTTTTCATGGTAAACCTGATAGATCCATTTTCAGCATGCACACTTACCAGGTTTTTGAACCACCAAATTCTGAGGACAAGATAATGGATTATGGTACATAAACCAACTTACTTAATAAGTGCTACCCTACAAACCTGTTAGGAGATAGGCTTTTGACCATCATAGCCAGCATCTTTATACTCCAGCATAGCATCACAGCCAAACATGAGAAAGGGCTTTTCTGCATATAAATTTTCTTTACATTTTGCAGCTTTTCAGTGCCTGTTTTTTAATGGTGAAAAACACAAAGTTGTCAAAGGATAAAGTGATGCCATGGGTAAAACTCTAGGTAGTTCAGGTCTTGAAAATACTGTCAGATGTATATATTAATCTGGAACGTAACTAAAAAAGCAATAGCGAGCCTCCTGTCTGTATTTCACATAAGTGAAATCATAGACTATGTGGCCATTTGTGTCTGGTTTCTTTCATTTAGCATATTACCAAGTTTCATCCATGTTGTAGCATACATCAGTACTTCATTCCTTTTTATGACTGAATAATATTCCATTGTATGGATATACCACATTTTGTTTACTCATTTGTAAATGGGAATCTTTGGTTATCATCCTACATCTCTTTATCATTTGTCTTTGTGGTTTAGGCAAAGAGTCAGTGACTGCTTTTAGGTGGGGCAAGTGGCAATATGTTCTTTGTTGAATATGGGTAGTCTGGTTTTTAAATCTCACTGAGGTAGCCTTCTTACCAAAATCAGTCCTTTATTTAGTCCTGATTATTACAGCATCTAGGTGTGTGCTTTTAAAAACAGTTCATTGACAATTGTTAATTGAAATAATTATTTTCTATTTTCTTAATTGAGTTGATGATCTGATTTTTTTCTTAAGTAAAACACAAAGGTTCCCCCCAGAAATTATACCTTTCCCCCCAGGGAATATGAAAAGGATATATCCCATAGAGTCAAATCCTCAAGTATAAGTTGATGATGTGATTTTTTTCTCCCCCTCCATCAGGTTTGCCTGTTTGTCCTGAGCTGGTAAGGGAGCACATCCCTAAAACCAAGGATGTGGGACACTTTTTATCTGTCACCGGGACAGTGATTCGAACAAGTCTTGTGAAGGTCCTGGAGTTTGAGCGGGATTACATGTGTAACAAATGCAAGCATGTATTTGTGGTCAAGGCTGACTTTGAACAGTATCACACCTTCTGTAGGCCATCCTCATGTCCCAGCTTGGAGAGCTGTGATTCCTCAAAATTCACTTGCCTCTCAGGCTTGTCTTCATCTCCAACCAGGTGTAGAGATTATCAGGAAATCAAAATTCAGGAACAGGTAAATGATCAAAATAAATTAGAAAAGTAACATTTGAAAAAGTAAAGTGGTTTTCAGCTATGGGTAGATTGCTACGACTGGGGAACATGTAATGGATTACAAATGGAACTTGCGTCATTACTTTGTGGAAGATCAGTCTTGAAGCCATCGCACATATAGTCTTTAGAAACCATGAAATCTTTTTATTGTAATTATTTTGGTGAAAATATACACAGCCATACACCATTTAAATAATCTTTTTAGATAAAGCATTGACAAGAAGGTTGTAGAGTGACTTAATAATCATGTTAAAATTAAAGACATGAGTATTTAAGAAGTCCACATTAGCTGTTCATAACTAAGGGATAGGAGAAATTGAAATGGGCTTAAACACTGGAGTGGGCAGAATCACTCTTTAACAATCACTCTTTAACAAATGAGGGTAAGCCTGATTTTCCTTTACTTACAGCTTAAACCCAAAGGTTTATTCTCTCATCTAAAATAAGTAGGAGATAGGCTAGAATGTAGGCTCCTCAGTGTTGAAGACTCAGGCTCCTTCTGTCTGCTGTACCATTCTTAACACATGGCTTCTATTCTTGTGGTTGTCTGTGGTACAGGATGGTAGCTAAAACTCCACCACATCGGTATTCTAGTCAGAGCAGGAAGAGGGGATGGATAAAAGAGCAAGCCACCCAACCAAGTTTCCATTTCTCTTGGAAGTTCCCTAAAACACGTCTGCATATTTCTTATTGGCCAGAACTTAGTCATATGACCACTGGTACCTAAATGCAAGGAAGCCTGGGAAATGTAGTCTTTTCACTGGGCACAGTGTTCTGTTACTAAGAATAATCAAAGGGACTCAAGTGATTTGTCCCAGACCTTATGATTAGAGATCAGGAAAGAGAAATGCCTCTCTTTTTGAGGTAGGTAAGTTTATTATTATTAGTCGTTGTTACATTTTGACAGTCCACAAAGTAGGTTTTATTTAGAGGTATTTCCCATATTGGTGCTTTTATTTTACTCTAGTCTTAGTGAATTCATAAACTGATAGTAGGTAAGATTTTCAAGAAAATTCCATAAATCCCTACCATAATTTGATGATGATAATATCAGAGAAACAGAAACTGTAATTTCAAGAACTGCTAGACTTCTGAATATTTAGTCAATGTGTATTTAATAACCTCTATCTGCTTTCTTTTTCTTGCTAGGTCCAAAGGCTATCTGTTGGAAGTATTCCACGATCTATGAAGGTTATCCTGGAAGATGACTTAGTAGACAGTTGCAAATCTGGTAAGAATGAACTTTTATTAGCTTGTATAGAAGGTCCTAAAATATTGGTTAGGAAGAGCTACTTTTCATTTTCCCAAGATCACTGGCAAGGGCATGTGGAGGGCTAATTGCTGAACTTGAGAACAGAAACTGTCATGGAGGTAGGAGATAATAGAAGAAAGCTGAGCTGGAGCTTAGAGATCTAGTCCAGTTGCTTGTTTTATAGGTGAAGAACCTGACTTGCCTAACATCATTTAGTGAATTAAGTAGCAGAACTAGAACATGAACACCGAACCATTGACTTCAAATCTAAGACTCTTCAATACACCATAGCTTAACAGCAGAGACTTTAAAGTTTTAGTGGATTTAGTGGGCAGTCATATAAAATGAATCAGAGGATGTGACTCTATCAAATGCTATTGCAATCTTAGTGATGTCCGGAAAAAAGAGGATGGTCTTTCCCCTCTGCTCTGTGCTGTGACACATTGATTTCATCTGCTGTCCTCTGATGGTCCTTAGTGTTTCCAGTGGCCACTCACCTGAATTGAGAGGAAACTTGAGACCATACTGAATGTAGAACTGTGGCTGGGTAGTATGAAGAAACCTCAGGAAGGACATGAGCCAACTTTAAATACTTAAAATACTGTCATATAGAAATAGAATTATAACTACAGAAGATACTCTTGGGCTTCAGCAGGTAGAAGCTACAGGGAAGCAGATTTTGACTCAGTATCTAATAATCAGGTGTCCAAACACGGATGTTAGATGATGGTGAATTACTTTTCTTGGAGAGAGACAGTCAAGCAGAGGATGTACAGCAACACGTTAGGAATTCAGGCCTTATGATGTCAGTTGATCTGGATAATTTACAGTGTTCACGCAAATACAAGGCCCTCTGAGCCTCAGAGGTGTTCTGGAAATCTGAGGATTCCAGAAGCCTTGTTATAGTGTTATTCTGGGTTATATGCTTTGATCTTTAAGCCAACGAGACTAGTCCTAAATTTTCCTTTGTTCCCTCTCCCTCATCTCGTCCCCTTTTCCTCTCCCCATTGGAGAGCCTGGGAAGAAATAAAACTTAAAAGTATTTGTAAGAGGACAAGGATTATTATCACCCCACGTCTATAAAATGGATGTATTGTGAACTGATTAAACTATTAATCGTTTAAAAAAAAAAAAGTAGGCAAAGGTTATACTGGCAAAATTAAGATACTGGGTTTTGTAAATCAGCAGTGTTGCCCAAGACATAAATATTATTCTCTTCTGCAATAACTACATTTGAATATAATATGAGATATTTTTAATAAAATCTGGTATGTTTGTGAAATGGATGTGTTGACAATGTTCTGCATTTATAATGCAAAAGAAAAAGAGAGAGAAAATGAGAGAATAAAGAGTGCTTTCTTCAACTGTTGATAGCAGGTAGGGCTGTAAAATTTAAGGGGCACTGGTCAGCTGAGGGTGAAGCTCTCAGATGGAAGCAGACTGCCAGCAGTATGTGCCTTCAAAGTGATAATCTAAAAGTTTAATGAAAAACTTTTTTCTAACCAAAGGGCTTAATATATCCCATATTTCAACACAGGTATTCTCACCTACACTTCTCTCTCACTGTCTTCTTACGTAAGTGAAAGGCACTGAAGGCTCTAGTATAGAGCTTAAAAGTCTTTTGGATTTATAAAGTTTCAATCCCAAAGAGGATTGTCCATAGAGCTGCAAAGCTTCCATAAGCGTCCCTGAGACTACCACTTCCAGCCTAAGAAAAGGAGAAGGGAAATGTATTCCCCTAAATCCAGCATCTTCTGCTTCCCTCCCACACTTTCCCAGGCCTTGACCAGACCTTTGCCTGTGGGGAGGATATGAGAGCTCACCCTTTCTCTTTCCTCCTCTAACAAATAATTTACAGGTTGTTATTTTTACTTTTTTGCCTAGCAATTTCCACTTACTATTTAACATTAAGAAGGTGCGTCAGGAAATGGAAATGATTGTTAAACCTTAGCTGAATTTGTCCACCACTGCCTTTCAATTCACTTTAACATCCTTGCTTTACACATTTCCTATTCTTATTCAAACACTCTTAATCTTTATTAAAAAAAACAAACAAACAATAGCACAGGTTGTGAGGCTGTGTCCCTGGGCAGTAACAGGTATGTCTGATCGATCTCTTATTCTACATCTCAGGTCTCTCCTATTGGACAGAGCTAAAGTGCTTCATTTCTCCAAACGCCATCATTTCCCTTTTCTTAATGCTGGGCTTCTCCAAGTGCCTCATTTATAAAGGACTTACTAAGCTGACTTCATTAAAATGAGGAGGCAAGCACTCCACAAAGAGTTATAATTCTCTATCAAAAGACGGCCCCCAATAATCACTAACCCATAATTTGAAAATTATGCCAAATACCTTAGCAGTTTGTAGTTGTCTAAATAGTATACTAAAGAGATAACAGCTTTGATTATGGATTACCTGCTAAATGGATGAGGGTATATGTTCAAATACCTGTCCATATAGAACTCTAAATTTTAAACAAAATCTGTAATATCTGAATCAGCACAGCAATGTTTTTACGACAACCTTAACATGAAAATACCCTTTGATAGAGATTAAGATATTTTCATACAGTTCATCTAAATTAGATCCTTTCTGCACTGAAAAAAATTCTTAAGTTTTTTTTCTTTTTCTAAAGTCACTAATAATAAGGAATGGATGGAAGCAGTTGTCAACAGCTATTTCTTAAAATTTATCCTTAGCTACAAATCTCTGTGGGACTCAAAAGACATAAACGGCATAATCCTTGCCCTTTAAGAATTTACAGTCTGCTTAGGAACCCCAATCTGACGTATACAGAGCAATAAAGTTGAAGAGTGTGGGCTGATAAGTGTCTGTGCAGCAGAAGATCAGGTGGATGGGCCTGATTAAGGATAGCTGCAGAAGATATACGGGCACAAAGAGATTGGATTGTATAAAACAAAGAATTTTAGCTTTCTGAAAATAACATTATTTATAATAATATTTACTATAAGCAATGACATTTAGGTATTTACTACAGAAAAATAGAAAAGTTTTAAACAAGTATCTCTTGCCTCTTGGGCTATCATATATTCCTCAGTTGTTCTAATGATCATATGAGTCTGCCATTCAATAAATATTTGAGTAAATTAAAACATGTATATATGGAAGGGTTTTGAAAGGTATTACCTAAAAAAAACCAAACCCGTTGCTGTCGAGTCAATTCCGACTCATAGTGACCCTACAGGACAGGGTAGAACTGCCCCATAGGGTTTCCAAGAGCGGCTAGTGGACTTGAACTGCTGACCTTTTGGTTAGCAGCCGAATGCTTAACCACTGCGCCACCAGGGCTCCTTGAAAGGTATTAGTTGCTCTACAAATGTTAGGTGGTGGTGTTCTTAGGTGCTGCTGAGTCAGTTCCAACTCATAGCGACCCTATGTACAACAGAAACGAAACACTGCCTGGTCCTGCACCATCCTCACAATCCCTGCTATGTTTGAGCCCACTGTTGCAGCCACCGTCTCAATCCATCTTGTTGAGGGTCTTCCTCCTTTTTGCCAACCCTCTACCAAGCATGATGTCCTTCTCCAGAGATTGGTTCCTCCTGATAACATGTCCCAAGTATGTTGAGATGAAGTCTTGCCATCCTCGCTTCTAAGGAGCATTCTGACTGTACTTCTTCCAATACAGATTTGTTCATTCTTCTGGCAGTCCGTGGTATATTCAGTATTCTTTGCCAACACCATAATTCAAAGGCATCAATTTTTCGGTTTTCCTTATTCACTGTCCAGCTTTTGCATGCATATGAGGTGATTGAAAATACTATGGCTTGGGTCAGGTGCACCTTAGTCCTCAAAGTAACATCTTTACTAAGGTAGGTTTAGTAAATACCTGGTATTTCCCGAACACTTATTATGTTCTAGATATGTCCTAATTTACATACATTATCTGATCTAGTTGGACTATCACTGTAGTCCTATGATGTAGATACCATTATTCCCATTTTATAAATCAGAAAACAGGCTTAGAAACATGAAGTAACTTGCCCAAGGTCACATAGCTAATGAGTGGTGGGATTTGAACCCAAATCTAGTACGCTTGACTGCTCTTCAGTACTCTACATTTTCCACATTATCACTGCTTTTTGCAGTCAGATTATTACTATGGGTGCTATATCTTAACAGTTAAAATTCTTCATTTGACTGATTTAGAAACAACATAAATATAACCCATTAAAATGACCCTACTCATTGCCATCGAATCAACTCCAACTCATAGCAACCCTACAGGACAGGGTAGAACTACCCCACAGCGTTTCCAAGGCTATAATCTGTATGGAAGCAGACTGCCACATCTTTCTCCTGCGGAGCAGCTGGTGGGTTCAAACCACCGACCTTTCAGTTAGCAGCCAAGCCCTTAACCACTGTACTATCAGGGCTCCTTAAAAACCACCCTACTAGAGGACTATTCCAAGTGCTTGTATAAAGTTGCCCCAGTTGTTTTCACCTGAAAAACACTAGGGGCAGACAGTACAGGAAATGATCATTATCTCTAATTGGGTTTGAAAACCATCCAAGGCAGTAGCTTAGGAAGAATCTTGAAAACATGTGAACAATATCTGTTTATGCCTTCTATTCTGTGACCACTTTCATGCATTTACAAAACTTTTCGTCAGTAAATCAAAAGCTCTGCTGATTACACAATACACACACACTGAAATTTACAAAGTGAAAGGCATTTTGTATCAATGGCATATAATTGACACAACCAACCAAACCACTGCCCTCAATTCCAACTCATAGCAACCCTATAGCACAGAGTTGAACTGCCCCATAGAGTTTCCAAGGCTGTAATCTTTACAGGAGCAGACTGCCACATCTTTCTCCTGCAGAGCAGCTGGTGGGTTCAAATCACTGACACTGTGGTTGGCAGCTGAGCACTTTAACCACTGTGCCACCAGGGTTCCTTTAATTGACACAAAGGCTTGAAAATAAAGAATTGTGCATAATGTAAGTACTGGGGTTGGGGTTGGAGTATGTCCAAAATCCTGTGTTTAAGTAGGTTGAAATCTTTGAGGACTAGGATTATGTCTTTTTTTTTTTCCCTCCTACTTTTCTCCAGTACCAAAATACTGAATGCCAAGGGTTCATATATATTTGTTAGCTGATACACTGGTATTGTATGTAATAATAAGCACGGATGTCAGTGTATGGGTAATAATAAGCACGGATGTCAATGTATGGAGAAAATGTGCCTACAGACTATCCAGGGCCTCTTAGAAAAATCTGTAAAAATATTCTCACAAGGAAGGGGAGGGTTTCCTCAGGTGGGAAGGAACCAACCAAGGGGGAACTGGCAGGGTTGTTAGTATCTTGTGCTTTCAATTGTTTATGGTAAGGAGCTTTAATGCAGAACAGGTATTCATTTCTCAGTTCATTCATTCATTCATTCAGAAAAAGCAGTGAGTAAAATGTTAACAAATGTGGTAAGTAAAAATGAACATGTAAAAAAATAAAACTAGGTGCCAGTCATCTTGTCGTCTTTCCTGACAGCAAATTTATTATAGTTTAACCTTCTGGCTGCAATTCCCACATCTCTAAATGAGAACTAAATGGTTAGAGGTTCTGAGATGATGAGCATTTCACCCAGTGTAAAGACAATGAATAAATCATCCAGTAAACTATTTTCACAGTGAAGGGTAATTATTTGGTGTGATTATCTGGCAGATTAGGAAAAATAAAAATGCTGACTAGTTTTTAGCTGTACAGATACAGGTGCCTGTAAAAAGAAAACTTGGGAGTCTATGGTGTTCTTTTGTCCCCAAATTGTTTTCTGGATGAGTGTACACACTCTTAAACTCTGGTGGGGCAGTGGTTTATTTCTAATTTCTGGTCCTTTGTCATATAAATCTGCACACAGCATGCCTATTACTGCCGGACTCACTTGGTGCTTTTCCACAGGCGATGACCTCACTATTTATGGGGTCGTAATGCAACGGTGGAAGCCCTTTCAGCAAGATGTGCGTTGTGAAGTGGAGATAGTCCTGAAGGCCAATTATGTCCAAGTAAATAATGAGCAGTCCACAGGGATCATCATGGATGAGGAGGTCCGAAAGGAATTTGAAGATTTTTGGAAAAAATATAAGAGCGATCCCTTTGCAGGTTTGTTATTAGGGTATAAAGCTGGTGATTATTACTGGCATTTCATTCAGTAGTTACACATGTATGTGTGATTGTGGGCAGCCTCACATGCTCCATAACTCAATGGCTGAGTTCACAGGGTAGCATTAGTCAATACCTCTAGCTGTAGTCTCCCTTTAAAACCCTTTTCTGGTATAGTCTTTTCTGTTTAGAGATCTTCTTGGATAATTAAGGCTGAATTCCAAGAGATTTTCCATTTCAAACTATTATTTTAAACATCTCTTGTTCTGTTAATAAAACAGTTGAGTCTTCCACCTCCTGTATCAATTAAATATAAAGCTCTTCCTTTAAAAAGGCAGAAAGTCATCCTATTATGAAATTTAATCCTAGTAAAGCCTTATTTCTTTTCTGATATATCTTAGATAATAAAGACAGCTTCACACTATTTTAGTTGAAGATTTTAAACTCAGGAATGAGTAGGAAAGAAATGATGAGAAATAGAAAAATGCAAAGGATAAACTTTATCATCACAGCAAAAATTTTGACTATGACATTAGGATGTTATTACGTAGATTAAAACATCACAGCCTTTGGGTTTGTGGAGCAAAGTTTTTATTTAAAAATCCCAAATGTATAAAATGCCGTAAAGTCTTCAAATGCCTATTTTCATTCTTTCTTGGAGGCATCGTCTAAGAAAAAGAAAACGAAGCCAGTAATAGACTAATCCTAATACTCTTAAATCACATGCTGAACTGGACAAATATCATTTCACAAAATAATAAGGCTCCCATTTGCCTAAATCTATGCAGTTTGCTTTTATTTTGCGGGCTTTTTGTGCTTATGCGTGTAACACATATAGTAGTCCTGATCATTCGTTTATCTGATCCATACAGAAAGAAGCAAAAGTTCTCTACATTGTGGCTGTATTAAGCACACCCTTTAAGAATCATATAGATATTTTTAATGAATTTTTTTAATTGAAAATAGTTTCTCAGGATCAGGTCTTTACAAAAATCTGAAACTCTTTCTTGCACACCTCTCTTTAAAGTGCCATGGTCATTCCTTGTTAATTACAGTGCCACAGCTCAACTCTGCCTAGTGACTGTGAAGGATGGGCATCACAGTGCTCTAACCAGACCTTCACAAGTGCTTTGTGCTAATGATTAAAGAGTCTAGCCTATTTGAATCAGAAGGTAATACTGTACAACTCATTTGCTGGATAGAAGGAAAAAGTAAATTTAACAATCTTGGAAGAAATATAGACAGGAAGGCAGAAAACGAACCAACATTCCTTTTAGCATGAACAGATTCTCTTCCTTCTTAGTTTCCTATGTACCCAGTACCATTTCAAAGTGTATGAGTGTGTACTAGGGGAAGGAATGGGGAGGGGAGCTACATCCAAAGGGAGTCTTCATTTTGCCAGTCTGAAGTGGGGGAGTTACTTCACTGAACAGCTCTTGGGAGACTGATCTGGTCCACTGAGACCTGATACTGTGGGTATTGACTAGGACGAGCCTAGGGGCTTTATTCTGATCAGCAGTGACTTCAGAGAGCACTTGATGCTAGTGCTTAGATGCTGGCTAGAAATCTATACACAGGGGTTGGGGTCTGCTGAGCCCACTCTGGGATGTTTCAGTTATCTCAGAACTGAGTTCTCTTCATTGAGGTGACTACGGGCCATACCACAAGAGTGGATTACTAGGCCATAGCCATACTATTAAACATGATCTAGAACCAAAAGTTTCGGAGAGAGGTGAGGATGGGGGAAGATAATAGTAGTAATTCACTCTAATGCATTTGCTTACGTGATGGATCCATGGGAGCTTCTACTGCCACAATCCAAGGGATAGAGCTTTTCAATTTAGAAAACAAATTTAGGATAATGGCTCTTCCCTTTGCTTTTCTCTGATACCTCAGTCCTACCTTCTTAGTATATCTTTTGTGTTGACTACAGTGTGAGGAAATCTCGAGATCAGAAATAAGCACAAATAGTACAGGTAATGGAACCCTGGTAGCGCAATGGTTAAATGCTTGGCTGCTAACCAAAAGGCTGTGGTTCAAACCCACCCAGTGGCTCTGTGGGAGAAAGACTTGGCGATCTGCTCCTGTTAAGATTACAGCCAAGAAAAGCCTATGGGGTAATTCTACTCTGTCACATGGAGTGGCTATGAGTTGGAATCGACTCAATGGCACACAATAACAACAAACAGTACAAGTAATAGGATAATAGTTGTCTCTCCTACTATGTGCCAGGTATTGTTCTTTGTGTTTTAAAACCTGTTGCCATCAAGTTGACAGAAAAGCCCTGGAATGGTATCACCAGCTGAAGGAGTACTTGTACGATTTTCTTCCTCCTCAGAAGAGCTATTCTTGAAACATGAGTGCAGACTCAGAGATGAATATTAAAGTCCTGACACATGCAAATTAGTCACCAGCATTCGGTCATTAATTTCTGAGAATATGAATATAGACACCGAGTACCATCACAGTAGTGAATTCAGTGCAAGTTAAGACAGGCTCAAGAAAGGCTTGTAGAATCTTGTAGGTTCCAAGAGCCTCTGTTGGTGGATTAGGCCAGTGATTAATTGGAGAAGCTCCATGGGCCACAAGTACCTCTGTTTAAAGGCTGCTGGCTCCTGAGATTAAACTCATTGTCTCTGAGATGGGGCACTTTCCTCTTATTCGGGCAGTGTGATAATTAAAGCAAAAGGAAGGAAATGGTGTACTAAAAGAGCTGAAAAGAAGATTTGAAAGGGTGGCTCAGAAGACAAAGTAAAGTATTATAATGAAATGTGCAAAGACCTGGAGTTAGAAAACAAAAAGGGGAGAATACACACTCAGCATTTCTCAAGCTGAAAGAACTGAAGAAAAAAGTTCAAGCCTTAGGTTGCAATTTTGAAGGATTATATGGGCAAAAACTTGAATGACGTGAGAAGAGAAGATGGAAGGAATATAGAGTCACAGTACCAAAAAGAATGGTCGATTTTCAGCCATTTCAGGAAGCAGCGTATGATCAAGAACCAATGGTACTAAAGGAAGAAGTCCAAGCTGCACTGAAGGCATTGGCAAAAACAAGGCTCCAGGAATTAACGGAATACCAATTGAGATGTTTCAACAAAAGGATGCAGCTCTGGAAGCGCTCTCACTCGTCTATGCCAAGAAATTTGGAAGACAGCTACCTGGCCAACCCAATGGAAGTGAACCATATTTGTGCCCATTCCAAAGAAATGACTTGAGGCACCTACTGATGAAGATCAAAGACTACAACCTTCAGTATGGATCACACCTCAACGTAAAGAAAACAAAAATCCTAACAACTGGACCAATAAGCAACATCATGATGAAAGGGGAAAATACTGAAGTTGTAAAGGATTTCATTTTGCTTGGATCCACAGTCAGTGCCCATGGAAGCAGCAGTCAAATCAAACAACATATTGCACTGGGCAAATCTGCTGCAAAAGACTTCTTAAAAAGTGTTTAAAAGCAAAGATATAACCTTCAGGACTAAGGTGCACCTGACCCAAGCCATGGTATTTTCAGTCACTTCATATACATGCAAAAGTTGGACACTGAATGAGGAAGGCCAAAGAAAGAATTGATGCCTTTGAATTATGGTGTTGGTGAAATATATTGAATATACTATGGACTGCCAAAAGAACAAACAAATCTTAGAAGAAGTACAGCCAGAATGCTCCTTAGAAGCAAGGATGGTCTAAGACTTCGTCCCATACTTTGGACATGTTATCAGGAGGGATCAGTCCCAGGTGAAAGACACCATGCTTGGTAGAGGGTCAGCAAAAAAGAGGAAGACCCTCAAGGAGATGGCTGCAACAGTGGGCTCAAACAACAATTCTGAGGATGGTGCAAGACCAGGCAGCGTTTCATTCTGTTGTACATAGGGTCACTATGAGTTGGAACCAACCCCATGGCATCTAACAACAATAGTAATTATACCAAAAACCACAGAAAATGCAGTCATTGTTATTTTTAAAGGATAAAATTGACCTGATAGGTAATCGATGCAGGAGAAAAGGAGATTCCTATCTTTCTTTCCCTTCTAAGGTATAATAAATTTATAGAAACTTAAGCAAGTAGTGCCCATGGGGGGAACAAAAAAGCAGACTTTTTTCATCTTACGGCATTAATAAGAAAAGGACTTACAGGACCAAAACAAAGTCATTTACTCCTTTTAGTCATTTGGAAATGGTCCTCTGTGTGTGTTTATAGGAGGATGGTCAGATAGGATAGGAAGAGAACTTCAGTTAGATTTTCTTGGAAATTGCAGGTGACTTCTTATCTTTCTGCTTCTCCTAGGAAGGAATGAAATATTGGCCAGCTTGTGCCCCCAAGTTTTTGGGATGTATTTAGTAAAGCTTGCTGTAGCCATGGTGCTAGCTGGTGGGATTCAAAGGACTGATGCTACAGGAACACGTGTTAGAGGTTGGTACCTATTTAAAAATTTTGAGGCTACAAGTTTTCTTTCCTGAATAAAAATTGTTTGTTGAGCTTTTATTTTCCAAATGTTATCTTTTAAAGCTGGCCAACTATCTGAATATCTAATACTTAGTCTAGCATGTATACATCTGAACCTACTTCCCAGAATTCCACAAAGACTAAAAGAAATAAGTTTTTCAATGGGTATATATTTTTGTTCCAGCCTATAATGGTGCCACAAAATAAAATCTTTACATTTTTATTACTGTGTATGTTTTCATTGGATCCCAAGTCACTCTTCAAAAGGGAAAAATTAGAAATAGTACTTTTTAATGTTTCCAAGTCAGTGACTCTCCATCTGTGACTGTCACTGTGCTTCTCTCAGACTGTTGCTCTCAGTCATCTGCCTGCTGAATTCCCCTTCTGCTGGGAGACAGCAAATGTGCCATCTGCCATGAAGTGCTGCTGTAGGTCATACATTCAAGCAAAGATTACTCTTAAGTGTGTAATGATGTGCTTATAACAGAAAGCTTTCTTGTGGCTAAACACACTTAACTGACCTGAATCTCGCATAAAGCAAGTTTTTATGACCCACATGTGGACCATAATAACCAAAGACTAAATCAAAAGACTAAAAGGCCATTGTTGTAAATCAGGCTTTTAGTAGGGACTTTAAAACTGTATCGTTTAGTACAGTATAGTATATTAATAGTAAGTATAGTAATGCTTACGTGTATTACATGTTTTGATCACCTACTATTTGCAAGGCACTCTGCTAAATGTTGAGCTTAAATAGGGGTTCCTATTAATATATTTGGGAGCCCAAGAGCTTGGCTGCTAAACAAAAGGTCAGCAGTTCGAACCTACCAGCCACTCCTTGGAAACTCAATGGGGCAGCTCTACTCTGTCCTATAGGGTCACTGTGTGTCGGAATCGACTTGATGGCAAAGGGTTTGGTTTGGTTTTAGTTATTAATATATTTAGAAAATACTTGAGTTTATAACCTTACTAAAAAATTTCTTTGATCAGTGAGCTAATACACACCAAAAGATATTCGTATATTCATTTACGTTACATTTGAAAAACAGTCTTTAACTACTTCAGGAACCTGGTGGCAAAGTGGTTAAGAGCTCAGGTTGCTAACCAAAAAGACTGGCAGTTCGAATCCACCAGCTGCTCCTTGGAAACCCTATGGGGCAGTTCTACTCTGTCCTATATGGTTGCTGTGAGTTGGAATCGACTTGATGGCACACAAAAACTACTACTTTATGATAGATATTTCATTAAACTACTAAAATTTTCATAAAATGAAAAGGTCTTCACTTAATTATCAGAATCATAAGTAAGTATAATGTCCCTAATACTTACAAATGCTTAAATTAAAAAAAAAAAAATTAAAATACTTCTATGGCTTATATGGAAAGATTTAATTACAGTAGTTTGGTATTTAAAAATAGATTAAATAAGCCAGGTTTTTTTTAAAATAATAAACAGGCCTAAACATCTCAAAAACAGTACATAATTACTAGAATTTAAATTTTAAATGTCACATTCAGTAATCAATTAAAAATTGTTATATTTATGATGACAGTTAACTTTACCAAAGATTTTCTAGTTAAATTCTTCCTGGAATGATTTTAAGTAACTGTACAGCAAAAGCACTATATAAAATATAAATTGTGTTAGTATTTCAAGTGGACCATTTTCTTTTTGATTATAATTAGACTTATTCATGGGTCCTTTCATAGAAATTTTAAACTTTACATATTTACGTTTTTCTAGGCGAATCACATCTTTTATTGGTTGGGGATCCTGGCACAGGGAAATCTCAATTCCTCAAATATGCAGCTAAGATTACACCAAGATCGGTGCTAACCACAGGAATTGGATCTACAAGTGCAGGTATTTTGTGTGACAATTTCACGTAATTTAATATTACCACAGAATCTAACACAATGGTTTTTTTCTTATGAAAAATTACCTATAATAGGGTAAATTTCAAGCTAATTTTTGAGAGTTACTGCCAAAAATTGAAGGAAACACACATTACTTTTGTAGCTGTAAAGAAAATATTTTAAAAGCTCCATCCTCACTTAAATTTATTTGTCAAAACTTATTCCATATTATCTCCTTGGATCTTTGTTTTGAGCAATCCTATTTAATTTTCTCATTCTCTAGTGATTACCTTCATATATCTATCTATGCAGAAAAAGTATGCATCATCTGGCATTCTATGAAGCCCCAGCAAATATAACATTAAAATCAGTTAAGTAGGGGAAAAAATTCACTTTACAAAAGTAGATCAATGGCTTAGAACTTAAGGCATTTTCATGCTAAGAGAACTCAAGGGCAACATAACTCTTACTAAAATTTTTCAGGTGAAAGTTTTGTTATTTTCTACGTGGAAAGTGTAGTTTAATCATTGCAATGTGGAACTTCATTCATACCTTGTAATGATTCTTAAGTAGTACATTTAAAAACTTTCACAGATAAAATGCCCAGATTTGATTATTAAGTATCTTAGGGGATTTAGCACCATAGTTGTAGGGAAAAACTACTTTTATAAAACAGGTTTTGATGCCGTTTTGTATTTTTATACAGTTTTGACTGGGGAAATATTTCTCCTTTTCTCCCAAAAAATAGGCCCTTGGTTTCACACATTTTACAAATATCATTTGCTGCTTGCTAAGGGAGTCTGACTTCCATGCCTGTGTTCAAGTTTCTCACGAGAAGCTTTTACTTTAGAATTTATTACAAAGCAGAAGATGCTGCATAACTGGGGTACCTTTCTAAGTGGCTCTAAGGTTTTGAAATATAAATGTAACTGAACAGTACATTAATCACTGACTAGAAGGGATTTGTGAACTGAGGAGTGGACAAGCTTCAGGATACTGGAAGGGAAGTAGATAGGAATAAAGAACATTTCATGTCATTTTACAAACCTTATGACCCAGTAGTCTAGAGTTCTGTATAAAATGTTCCTTAAATAATTACGTGGAATGTTTCCTAAGTTATTCTGTGGAGTGGCAAGAAATGAGCCCATGCTATCTTGTGGGCTACTAGTAATTTCAGAGTATTTGAGCTGTTTTAGAGTGAATGGCTGCCAACTCACTGTATTAGCACTTCTCCCTCTTTCAAATAAATTTTATTTCAAGATTAGAATCCAATCATGAGAGAAAAGAGGGAATATGTATTTTTAGAATTATAGAAAAATTATTGCTACTAGTCTTTTGCAAATTGTACACAACCCTTTAGGTCATAAAAGTCATTTCAGTGGGCCAAAACCAGCACTTTCAAAATGAAATACAATAGAAAATATAGTATTCCCCTCTTATCTGCAGGGGATACATTCCAAGACTCCCCATGCATGCCTGAAACCACAGATAGTACTGAACTCTATATATGCTATGTTTTGTCCTATATATACATACCTATGATAAAGTTTAAAAATAAACTAGGCACAGTAAGAGATGAACAGTTATAAGAATATACTGTAATACAAGTTATGTGAATGTAGTTCCCAGGTGGGATGGCATGGGATACTACAAGATTTCATCACGCTACTAAACATTTTTGGACCGCGGCTGACCGTGGGGAACTGAAACCGTAGAAAGTGAAGCTGCGAATAAGGGGGGGACTACTGTACTGGAATATTCTGCACATACTAATGGTACATTATAAGGGTGCATTTTCTTGAAAATTTTTCTATATAAATGTGTCCTTATGTTATAGGGTCATGTTATATATA